AAATTAGCTGGGCATGGTGGCGCATGCCTGTAATCCCAGCGACTCAGGAGGCTGAGGCAGGAGAATTGCCTGAACCCAGGAGGCAGAGGTTATGGTGAGCCGAGATCGCGCCATTGCACTCCAGCCTGGGTAACAAGAGCGAAACTCCGTCTCCAAAAAAAAAAAAAAAGCACAAGTTGCACTTGGTGAACCAGAAGCAAAGTAAAAAGTAAAAAAAGGCAAGTGACCAAAAAGAAACCGGTAAAATGAACTTCGTCAAAATTAGTAACTTTTGTGTCAGAGAATATTACCAAGAATGAAAAGAAAACCCACATGTAATACTTGCAAATCATTAATGTGATAAGAGAATTATACCCAGAATAAACTAAAGAACTCTTAAAACCCAACAATTAAAAAGGTAAATAGGCTGGGCAGTGTGGCTCACATCTGTAATTGGAGCACTTTGGGAGACCAAGGAAGGTGGATCATGAGGTCAAGAGTTCAAGACCAGCCTGGCCAACACTAAACAGAAATTGGCCAGGCATGCGCCTATAATCCCAGCTACTCAGGAGGCTGAGGCAGGAGCATTGCTTGAACCCAGGAGGCAGAGGTCGCAGTGAGCTGAGATCCTGCCACTGCACTCCAGCCTGTGTGACAGAGCAAGACTCCATGGGGTAGGAGGAAAGCTACATATTGTATGATTCCGTTTATATGAAATGACCAAAAGAGGCAATCTATAGAGAAAGTAGCTTAGTGATTGCCTGGGGTGGCTAGATGGAGGAATCAGGAGTGACTGGGTGTTCTTTGGGGATGACAATAATGTTCTAGAATTAGGCAGTGGTATCTGATGCATAATTCTACGAGGACTAAGAAGCAATTTAATAAGCTTCAAAAAATGAGTAAATTTTATGACATATAAATTAAATCTCATTAAAGCGGTCACTTAAAAAAATAATTAAAGGCTGGGGGCAGTGGCTCACGCCTGTAATCCCAGCACTTTAGGAGGCCAAGGCGGGCAGATCATGAGGTCAGGAGATCAAGACCATTCTGGCCAACATGGCAAAACGCTGTCTCTACTAAAAATACACAACTAACCTGTAATCCCAACTAACTCAGGAGGCTGAGGCAGGAGAATCGCTTGAACCTGGGAGGCAGAGGGTGCATTGAGCCAAGATCATGCCATTGCACTCCACCAGCCTGGGCAGCAAGAAAAAAACTCCGTTTCAAAAAAAAAAAAAAAAAAAAGTTATATATACATCGTAAGGTCAATTATAAAAGAAATTCAATTTTAAAAACCTGGAAGATGCTAAATGTTTATCTGTGTAATAAGATGATAGATAACTATTATGCAAAAAAAGTGTAAACACTTCAACAGTTAGCTTAGAAGGTGGAAGAGCTGCCTTAGGTCACAAATTCCCAACCTCTGATGGCAGCCCTGACTACAGTGTAACCCCATTCTGTTACACAGAAGTTACATGTTGCATTTTCACCCACTCTAGACATTAAGAGAGCAGGGTCCTACTTTACAGGGGCTGTAAACCAGAGATCAAACTGATTCTGTCAGTAGTTTTTTGTGTTCATTTTTGTCTCCTTAGTAACCAGCCCACAGCAAATTTGTGTTCAGTGAATCAACTATCTGGAACTTATGAATTTGTCCAAATGAATCCTTCTCTCTTGAAAACCATTTATCAAAGTAGCCACACCTGAACTCAAGGCTCTTCTGGGGATGACCCAGGACGGGTCTTGCAGGGTAATGGAGTTGGTGCCCTGGAATCCCCAGACCAGTACTTACGTTTCCCCGGCAACTTTCCGCACTAATTTAGCTTCTGTCCCATTCAGTTCCAGCTCCCAACCTCCAGACATCTTAGGGAGGGTTTTATGCTTCTGGATTTTTCTTTCCTCCTTAATTTCATCACTCAGGAAATCAACAAAAGCTTTGTCTCCTAGAAATCCAGATACATAAAAAGGGAAGCCAGTCTAAAACATAAAACTATTACCCAGGTTATTGTAACCAGAAATCTGGCCTGTTTCTAATATCTCTGCTACTATGGTTACTCTGGAAGCCTCAGTTTCCTTATCTGTAAAAATAACATAATAGTATTGAGAAGCTAAGCTTGATTTTGGAAAAGTGACTTTCAACGCATTGCCACCTTCTGCTATAAAGCAGCAGAACTTCCAGCCATCCTCTTCCACTTGGCAAACGCGTTAACTATGCTATTTTCAATCACGACCTTGGGCCTTCCCAAAGGTCCACTTTCGAGAGACTAAGGCTAAGGATAAAGGTACCCTCTAATATTTATCTACCCCGTTCCAACAGAAAATGAAACTGGTGGAAAGGGGAGGTGGGGGAAACATGATCACACGTGGGTTTAACCCGCTGGTTGCCAACGAATGGAATAATGTCCCAGATCTCGGAGGTCGGTTGCAGGCCCCACTCCTGGTCTACGTTTTTCCTCCGCAGACCGCAAACCCCAACACCACCCCTGGCCCGCGTGCGTGAACTTCACCTTCGGTGTGCAGTGCGCCGCAGCCACAGCCGCAGGCGCAGGGCCCGCGAGGCCGCAGGAGGCCCGGCCGCTGCTCGGAACCCGCGCGCACGCTGAGCAGTCCGAACGGCCGGGCCCACAGCCGCGGCGCCGGCTGCAGGAGCTGCCGGAATGGCGAAGCAGGCGAGGCGGGAGCCGCGGCGCGGAGCGCGGCAACGGAAGAGCCCAGCACACGGGGCAAGCAGCGCAGCAGCGGCAGCATCACGGAGACGACTGCGAACACGTGCAGACGCAAAGGACAACCCAGACCTAGGCGCCCCGCGACTTAGCCCGCCGCCGGAAGCCCCGCCCAGCCAGGAAGCGCTTCCCGCGCCGGCGCTCTGAAGATCTAAGGCCAGTGGGCGGAATCTCGCCCTCTGCTGGAAACCTCCGGTGCAGCCCGGGAAGCCTCTAGTTTTTTCCCGAGCTTTCTTGCTGCGTTAGCCTGACTCCGCTGTCCGAAGCTGTTTAACTCCCCCTGGTGGCTGCTTACACATTTTCCACCTACTGTTCTCAAGGCACGCCAGGTTTTTGGGCTGCGTGGAATGCACTCGTCTCCACCAGGCTCTTACCAGACCCTTACACGGTCACTTTCCTCTAGGAGGCTGTGGGTGTGTGTGTGTGTGTGTGTATGTGTGTGTTTTCATCCACAGTTCCTGGCTCTTAACTCTCAGCCCTTGTTAGTGTTCTGTGATAATGTTGGGTATGTTAGGCCTCAGAAAATAGAATCTCTCTCCGTCCTCCTGTCCTGCCCTTCCACCTGCCCCAAAGCAGGACTCTAATCTCACCCTACATTTCTGATTGTGGGTCTTCAGTCTCTCCCCAGAGAAGGTCCCACCCTATACCCTGGGGGAAGAGATGCTGAAGTCCGGAAGCTTCCATAAAAACCCAAGAGGACAGGGTTTGGAGAGCCTCCGATAGCTAAACACATGGAGGTTCCTGGAGGGCTGTGGCCCTGGGAGGGGAGCTTCTTCCCCATTCCCCACCCTGCTCATCTCATCTGTATCCTCCGTCATATCCTTTATATCAAACTAGTAAATGTGTTTCCCTGAGTTCTGTGAGTGGCTCAGGTAAATTCATATAACCCAAAGAGGGGGTTCAGATTTAGATTAAGAACCAAGAATCCCACCTTCTCAGGATACACAGGACATACAAGCTACCAAGAAGGTATGGCTTACTAACTCATGGTAAGACTAACAATATTTTCGAAACACTCCTGAGTCACAGGATACCTTTATAAGAAAAGAAAATATTTTCTAAACAATTTTCTATGAATAATGGAAAAGAGATCCAAAAAACAAGCCACACACATCATGTACAAGATTAGTTTTTAATGGATTTGATCGTCAGGTGCAAATTGAGCATTATGTACAAGGGCTTTCTGTAGTTATTTCTACACAAAAGCCTGAACCTACATGATTTTTTCCCGCTCCCTCTAGTTACCAAGGAATGCTCTTAGATGCATGGCCTATTATCACACTGGTCTTATAAAAAAAAAAAAAAAAAAAAAAAAAACATGGCCACAGTTCCAGGCAGTTCCTGGTAGCTGGATTTAGGATTTATATATCACAGTACAGTACATAATCAGTTTTACCCACAGAGCAAAACTTGCTTCCATTCAGGCATCTCTTTGCAACTGGCAGCAATGCAGCGTTAACGGTTTTTATCCAGGACCTGGTGTTTGCAGTCCTGCCCCTTGTAGTGAAAAATGTGTTACTCTGGGTGTTGCACACTCCATGATTACTAGAAGGCAAACACCTGAGGCATGCAATCTGGGTGGAGTGCATCTATTTACAAGAAGCTGCTGGGAGCTGGTGATTCTTCCAGATATGGGTTTCGTAGGTTGGCAAAGAGGTACCACATCATCACAGATTTTACCAATGGAAAAAGAGTAGAAGATTATATTGCAGTGTTATTGTGAAACATTTAACTTTCCTAAGTTTAAAGTGTACTATCCCCTGCAGCTCAATATAAACAATGATTTATTTCTTTGTAGGAATATATGGAGTCAGAATGGGTTTTCCAATCTGATTTAATCCCTGAGCAGCTATGTTAAAAGTTAACTTTTTTAAAAAGCCCAATACAAAACTAAATACTATATTAAAACTCTACCACAATGCTACAATGTTATAGTGATAAACATATTTCTGTACAGAAACATTAAAGCTACTTAGAAGCTGTTTACATCCTTTACCTCTCAGGAAAAAAAAATTCATTTCTGGAAGCTGTTCAGGTACTTTAGCTGGACATAAATTAATCCCAAGTTTTTTTTTGTTTTGTTTTTGAGACACAGTATTGCACTGTGGGTCAAGCTGGAGTGCAGTGGAGCGATCTTGGCTCACTGAAAACTCTCCTCCCAAGTTCAAGCAATTCTTGTGCCTTAGCCTCCCTGGTAGCTCGGATTACAGGCATTTACCGCAATGCCCAGCTAAGGTTTGTATTTTTAGCAGAGACAGCGTTTTGCCATGTTGGCCAGGCTGGTCTCAAACTTCTCAAGCAATCCACCCACCTCAGCGTCCCATCCCAGTGCTGGGATTACAGGCATGAGGTTATCCACCAACCTTGGCCTCCCAAAGTGCTGGGATTACGGGTGTAAGCCACTGTGCCTAACCACCCCCTAATTATTTTTACCAGCGCTATGAATGATTTATTAAAAATATAATACTTTTTCTTACCAAGTCAGACTAAGGATTCTAGACCCATACTGAAAAAAACCAAAAAAAACAAAAAAAACAAAAACCTTTGTGGAAAACTTTTCAGAAAATCAGCAATGATAACAAGTCAGTAAGTGGAAGAACTGGTTCAAAGTTTAAGAATTCAGTAAGATAAGGTATAATAAGAGCTGTCAGATCTTATTTCACCCACGTATAACCGTTTCTGACAGTCCTAAACAAGTCAAGCTGAGAACCTGACTGCACAGGACCATGGCTAGCGTTGGAAATAAAGACTGAGCCAGACTGGAGACAGATGAGACCCTGGAATGGGGGTGTTCCGCCAGGCCGCAGCTTCCAAAAAGAGACCGTCCATGAGCTCTGAAGAGCCTCATGGGCAGTTTGGCCCGTTGAAAACTATGATGTGTTCAGGGAGAAACGACAAAACACTGTATAGACGTATTTGGACCAAGTAAGCACAATAAAAGAGCTAAATCTCGGTTTGTTCTAGGGCAAAACATTATCTGGGGAAAGATGACTTACTTTTGAATATTAAATAGCCAAGGGGAACCGACGATGCCTTTTCTCTGCTCAGAATATCATAACAGGAAGAGACTGTGGAGATCCTCTAATTCCCTCTGACAATGAGGGTTAGAGAGAGGTGCCTAGCAGTTAGAAAGCAGCAAAGCCAGATTGTCCCCAAGACCCTAAGAAGAAGGGAAAAAAAAAATCACAGAAAATTAATAAGATGCAAGAGTAAGTGTTCCAGCTCTAGCTTTTTAAGAATTTGTCCGGCAGGTCTTCAAGTCTTCACTGAACCACCCCACTATCCCTCAAAAAAGATACAAGAATATAAGACCAGATGTGGTGTGGTGTCTGGCATAAGCCAGTGCTCTCTGGGTTCTCACTATGTACCCTTCTTCCCTGCCCCACCCCCATCACCTCTGACCAGGGGCTCTGACCAAAAAGAAACAGCTGAAATGGTCCACAGAGTCACTCATGCTCACATGTTCACTGGTGCCTAGAGAAAAAAATGGCAACTATGTATGTGGGAGTCACCTACACACACCAAACACCGAAAGGTCTGTTTCCCATGTCTACACATGACATGATTCAGAAGGTATGAATCAACCTTCATTCAGGAAGCTTACACGTCTCCTGAAAGCAGTGACAGGGACACGCACCAAGGACCAGGAGGATCTTTTACTGGCCTCTGCTTGGAGACAGACACAGAGCAGTCCACCCCCTGAGACATAACCGTTCATTAGGGATTGCCATCCCAGGAGGTAAGAGATAATAGCACCTCCCTCTGGAACCTTCTACAGAAGTCAGTTGTTTTTTTTTTCTATTTTAAAACTGCATACGGATAGACATTAAACAAAAACCAAGGACAACATCTAAGCTCTGCAACCTCCTGTGGCCCTTCCAGAAAATCCTCCTCAGTCACGAGAACTTGGGATGCTGTTGTAGTTAATTCACATCACATGGAAAGCAGGAACATTAAGCAGACTGGCTACCAACTCATTGCATGTGTGTTGTGCTCCGGGCATAGTTCTGGGTACTTTCCATTCATTTTCTCTGAACTTTATGAACCCAATTTTGTAAGTATTATTAATATGATTACTCCCATTTGGCAGATGAGAAAACTGCGGCTCAGGTGTTAATTAAGTCAAAGTCACCCAGTAAGAGCCAAAAGCATAATTTTGACGTTTCCAGGTACAAATGATATGTTCATGTCTACAAGGTTCAGTCCTAGTCATTGAAGCAAAGATGCTTTCAAGCTCCTGGAAGTTAGGCACGGTCAGCTGATTCCAAGGCTTCTCTAAGTGCCAACCTGGAAGCCTGCTGTGAGGACAACCGTAGTCCAGACTCCCAGAGACCAGCAATTCTGGCAGCATCCTGGGGAGGCTCAGTTTCTGGCAGTTCTCAGCTTCCTCCTAAAGTACTCAGGGGCAGCCTCGTACAGCCACTCTGCATCCACGACGCAGAGGTCCCGCATGTAGCACTTGTTGGTATAGAGCAGCTCAGTGTACACGACACAGGCCGGCTTGCAGTGGAAGAGGACAGACGAGGGGTGGATGGCCACCGGCTGGTGGGTGTCCGTGGTGGCATAGGTACCATCTGGCTGAAGCTCGGCAGTGCTCATGAAGAGGCTGTGAGCCAGGCAGCGGCGGACACTCTCCATGTCTCCTCGGGATGACATGATTGGCATTGACATCTGTTTTGGGAGAAAGCAAGGAACGGAGCAGACCCCAAATGTAAACCCTGTTCAGCATTACACAGTGTGTTGGGGCAACTGGACCCACTGGGGCAAATGCAGCCCACACTGCGAGCCTAACAAAGTGGATTCTGACATTCAGGGTGGTTACCAAGGATCAGCAAGGTCAGGGGAAGAAGGCCCAGCTGGAGGAGGCTGGACCAGAAACAGTGGGAGGTAGGGCTGGGAGGGAAATGCTCACATCAGCCAACAGACCACAGGCAAGGTGGGTGACCCACCCCTCACCTACATTCCATCAGGACAGTCCAGAAAGGAAAAGCCCTTCCTTCCCTCTTGCTTTGACCATCTCACCATCTCCTCATTCCAATTCACCTTACACGCTGCTGCCAAACTCATCTTCCTAAAGTGCAACTCCAGTCACTCTACTTCCACTCAAAAACCTTCACTAATGTCTCTACTGCTCCTTGCAAAACAACGCAAACTTCCCATGGTGACGCCGTGAAGGAGCCGCCCTGAGCCGGCTCACCTGTCTTTCCTCTCACTGCTCTTCCTTTTCTTTTTTTTGGCCTCACTCTGTCACCCAGGCTGGAGTGCAGTGGTGCGATGTCAGCTCACTGCAAACTCCATCTCCCAGGTTCAAGTTTTTCTCTGCCTTAGTCTCCTGAGTAGCTGAGATTTACAGGCATCTGCCACCATGCCCAGCTAATTTTGTATTTTTAGTAGAAACAGGGTTTCACCATGTTGGCCAGGCTGGTCTTGAACTCCTGACCTTTAGTAATCTTCCCACCTTGGCCTCCCAAAGTGCTGGGATTACAGGCATGAGGCTCTGTGCCTGGCCTCACCACTCTTCTTTAGACACTCCATGGTCCCCCATAGTTGGCACCTTCTCTTTCCTAGCCCCGTTTTGTGTTTCCTATCTCTGTGCCTTCACATTTGCTGCTCTTAGTAGAAACGCTGCCTTTGACTCATCAGGGAAAATGTCAGACACCAGTCAATGTCCTTGCTGTACCACTCTTGATGAGTGATCAAGTAATCTTGATCATGTAATCTTATGCCCCTGGGCACAGATGAGCAGACCAGTTGTGCACACCCGCTGGACCTAAGCCAGCCAGCTTCTCTCTTCCAGGCATCTTTTAGATCTGAAACTGGAAAACCTGTCAATCAACTAGGCTCTTAAGTAGAGAGGCCATGCACAGCAATCACTTGCATGCGGAGGTAACGGCGAGAAGAGGAAGGAGGCACGCCGAGGGTACCCAAAGCGAGAGAACCAACAGGTCCAGAGAAAGCAGCTGCCCTGGCTCCTGCAGGCTTTTTCTAGTTCCTGTGACTCTATTTCCTGCCTACAGGTTCTCAGAGATACCATTCCATCCTTGGAAAAATCTTTCTTTTGTCCTTTACGATGGCTGAAGGGCTTCTGTTGCTGACAATCAGCTGATCTATGCCTGAAGAAGACACTATGTTTTTTTTTTAAGAGACAGGGTCTCGCACTGTTGCCCAGGCTGGAGTGCAATGGCAAAATGTCGGCTCACTGCAACCTCTGCCTCCCGTGTTCAGGAGATTCTTGTGCCTCAGCCTCCTGAAGTAGCTGGGATTACAGGCATGTACCACCACGCCCAGCTTATTTTTTTATTTTTAGCAGAGATGAGGTTTCCTCCTGTTGACCAGGCTGGTCTGGAATTCCTGACCTCATGATCCACCTACCTCCCAAAGTGCTGGGATTACAGGCCTGAGCCACCGTTCCCAGCTGGAAGATACTCTTATCTCTTATCTGTCAAGGTTTAGCTCAGTTGTCAGCACCTCCAGGAAGCCCCAAAGGCTAACTGGTGGTCTCTTCTTTCAGGCTATCAGCTTTACCACTTGCTGGCTGAGTGATCTGGGGCAAATTATTTAACCTGATTAGGCTCAGTTTCAACATTTGTAAAATGGGAATAACAACAGAATTAATCTTAATGAGGATTTTATCCTTTGGGTCAAGGTCTGAGTTAAAAAAAAAAAAAAAAAAAAAAAAGAAATGAGAAGTTTAAATAAGGGAATCAATTAGAAAGTATTCAGAACAGTGCCTGAACAAACACCTCATAAATGACAGTGATTAATTATGACCGCCTCCTCGCAGGGGTATATGTATGTCAGGTCACTGTCTAGATTACTACTTAGTTACTGAGGAGGCAGGTCTGTAAAGTCTCAGGACCTTGACCAGTGCCTGGCATATAATGAGAGGTATCCCTAGCCACTACAGATTTCTAAATTCAGAAACAGAGAAGTACCATTTCTTCTGTCAATAAAAAATTGAGAACTTATGAAGCCAAGAGACAGACTGGCAGGAAACTCTTTAAATACAAAAGCAGTTTAAACAAATGTGTAAAAGAATACAACAGGCTACAAGAGAAGAAACAGCTCTAGTGCTAACTATAGGCCGCTGGCATCAGACACAGGCCTGGGTTCAGGTTATGACTGTCTCCCAGGAGCGTCTGCACTGAGGGGCACAAGACAGAGTTGCTTATGACAGCAAAAACATGGGCACTGTCTCCATAATCAACAGCAAAAGAACACTTGAGCTACCCTCTGCCTCTGACATAAAATGTATTATACAAGCATTAATTATACCATGACAGGTCTTTAAAGCATCATGTACTATGTACTCTAAGAGGGAATAAAAAGCTAATATAAAACTTTGTGGTGGACACTTTGGCAACGTCTAACAAAATCTAAATTCCAAATTACCACATCCAGAAATTCATTCTGTGTGTACCACAGCACATATGGAGGAGGATGGTCATTATAATAGAACCAAAATGACATTAGAGGCTTAAATAAATTGCAGTGAATACAATGAAATACTATGAAGTCACCAAAACAAATGAGACAGACACATGCAGCACTGAAAGCCGAGCCACAGGAAGTGTTCAAGAAATATGTCATGTGAGGCTGGGTGCGGTGGCTCATGCCTGTAATCCCAGCACTTTGGGAGGCCAAGGCAGGAGGATCACCTGAGGTCAGGAGTTTGAGACCAGCCTGGCCAACATGGTGAAACCCCGTCTCTATTAAAGATGCAAAAATTAGCCAGGCGTGGTGGTGCGTGCCTGCAATTCCAGCTACTCGGGAGGCTGAGGCAGGAGAATCGCTTGAAACTGGGAGGCAGAGGTTGCAGTGAGCCAAGAT